TCATCTCGTCAGCTCCTTGCTCAGTGGAGGACCTGCTGGGCAAAAGGGGGGGGGTTCCCCCATTTTCTGTGGCAGTCCATTCCGCTGTCAGTTGTCACGTGGTTTTAGGGCAGGAATGCAAAGCCTTGGCGCATGGATCCTTGCAGCCTGCCAACATCTTTTCATGACCAGAGTTAGGGCCTTCTATTTAGTTTAGTTTAGTTTTGTCTTTGGGGAGGTATGTAGTAGTTAAAAGGGGCAAAAGCCTCATCAATGTTGACGGCACCCATTTCTCTCCTGAAAACTCCTGAGCCTGAGGTCCCTAAGCGGACCTGGCCTTGCCCATTTCTGGAGCACAGCTGTGACATGCCACACCAGCTGGCACCGGCTGCCCTGTCTTGCTTTGGGAGTCTCGGGTTAATTTGGCACTCGGCCTGTTGAGCCTTAGCCGTGGTGCTGGGGGCTCAGTTCAGCACCATCCATGGACAGCTGCTGGGGCAGCCAGTTCCCGCCTCTCCCCCCGTTCAGTCAAGCCCCCACCTAAATTGGCCACCTGGCCTCAGGATGGCAAGGGCAGGTGATGCCTGGCTGTTTGGCACCGCTCCGAGTGGAAAAGCGACGGTGATTGAGTTGCCAGAGGTTGCTTTTCCAGGTGGCCTCTTCCCAGGTGGGACCATCCCGGCCTCTGGTGTTTGCTCCTGCAGGCCAGACTGAATCCTTCATCTGCCCCCTCCTCCTCCCGGCCCACGGATTCTCTGCCTTCCTTCTCTCGCTGCAGGGCAACAAGGGCGGGGTGAGCGTCCGGCTCTCCATCTTCGGGCACATGGTTTGCTTTTTGAACTGCCACCTGCCGGCGCACATGGAGAAGGCGGAGCAGCGCAAAGAGGACTTTACCACCATCCTCCACTTGCAGCAGTTTGAGGGGCCCTCGGCCAACGGCATCCTTGACCACGAGTGAGTATAAGCCCCCGTGTCCTTCCAGTCCTTCCGGGGAAAAGGGAGCCCAGGAGGGCCGGGGAGTGGGTGGGCTCTTGGCCAGTTCACTCTCTTCTGGTGGACGTCTTCTCAGCTGGGAAGGTCTGTTGTTTCATTTCAGTCACTGATGATCAATGGTCGATGGAATTTGCTCCCACCAGTCCCCCCTACAGTGCCCAAGCCAGGACGGAAATAAGACAAAACAGTCTGAATCCGGTGTTTAGAAAAATTACATACATTATACTTAAAATCATCATTAGGTATCTCAAAAAGGTGAAGAGGAAGGCACGGTAGGAGCAAAGCACAACTCCTGAAGGAATGGGTGCTGCGGTCTAAAGTAATGTAGGATTGGGTGTGCATCTGGCAAACCAAAGTCTCCAAGTGGGATGATCCTTCAGGGAGCAAATTAGGGCTCCAGTTTTTACCACCTTCCTTGTTTTTATTCCACTTTGCTCTCCGTTATCGTGCATCCAGATCTTTTCTCCCACAGAAGGAAAAGCAAACGCAAGGGGTGTCTGCGTATGGTAGCTCCAGAAGGCACGGATAAAATGCCTCCCCTTCTACTGCCCCCACTTCGCTGTTCCAGGTTGTGTTGGTCGGGGGGGCTTTTCAGCTTAAAAGAGAAAAAGAGACAGAAGAGAGCAGGGGGAAATACTGGCAGTTGTCAAAAGTCCGCTTTCTGAACTGGCCCTTTCGACTGGAGGGGGCGGGTGTGAATCTCCAGCCGTGTTCAGATGAGGACGAGGACGTATATCTTCTTACATGACTGCATCTCGACTCTCCCCTAAGGCCACTCCTGATGATTAAAGGGCTGTTGTACTACTGTGGCGTTATTTTTGACAATCCTCTTTATGTGCAGACGTAAAGAGTTTGGGAGGAAACTAAGCCGAGGCTCAGATGGAGCAAAACCGAACAGCTCTTCTGACGTTTCGGTGAAAGAGGGGCTGAAGGAGGGAGGGCAACAACTTCCTCCTCACTCCTCACCCCCCATCCCCGGCCCGCCTGCACCTGATCCTCCCCCTGACCGGACGGGCGTTTGCCACCGGCTGCACTGTTTGACCTGTTGGAAAGCGGAGGGCTTTCTAGCAGCCACGCACCGGTTTTATTCAGTAAAGGAGCAGGCTGGACCTGCCTGTCCCCCAAGAAAAATGGCTGCCTGGGCAGGTCGGCCCGCCTCGGGTCCAGCTTTGTTGCCCACGCAGGCCTTTCTCTCCTGGAGCTGCTTCTGGCTGTGCAAATGTCCCTGGCAAAAGCCTGCAAGCAGAAGGGGCAGAGGACCCCCTGAGTGGCTCTCCCCACATGGACAACCAATTTCTGAAGAGCCAGGACAGGGTCCTTGGTGGCCACCTAAAGGGATTCTTTTTCATTCTCATAGAATCCAGATTTGTTCAGATGAAAGGATTAGGGCTAGAAGAATGCCAGCATCTGTCTTTCAGCTGCGTCCGCAGGGAGAGCAGCCCCCTCAACGCATCTCAGACTGGTCCCTGCCCTCCCCGCAACGCCAGCTGGGTGATTTTGCTGCTCTCCCGGTGTCACCTGACACTCCAGCAAAGCAGCAGAAAACAGCTACAGGAATGGTGGGGGTGATGTTCCCTGATGCCAAGAGAACTCATCTTCGTCGTCAAACATCCAGCAAGAATATAATAATAGACGGACTATTGATTCTTCTTCCTCTGTTCATTTCTGCTCGGTGGCCTCCAGCTTTCTCGGTCCTTTCCGAGCCTGGTGCTTCTGGGTGTGTTGGGTGGCAGTTCCCAGAATTTCCTTCACCCAGGCTGCCTGAGAATGGCCATCCTAGCCTACCCAGACGGAAGCAGATCTCCTTCTCTCCTGGTGGTCTGCAGGAGCCAGCCAAAGCCTTCTGGCTGGTGGATGGTGGGCACGAGTCCTCCCTGGTATGGGGTTTGTGATGTCTATAACTCCAGGGCTGGGACTTGCCGGACAATCAATTTCTGAAGAGCCAGGACAGGGTCCTTGGTGGCCACCTAAAGTGACTCTTTTTTATTCTCATAGATTGGTTGAGATGAAAGGATTAGGGCTAGAAGAATTCCAGCATCTGAATTAATTCTCTTTTAGACCCAGTATATCCCTGTGTGCATTTGGGCAGAGAGTTTCTGGTTCTCTTTCTAACAGGTGAGGAATGAGGTCACAAGGGCTGTGTATCTGACGGTCTCCCGAACCTTTATCAGTCTGATGAAGGCTCCCCATTTCCTTCTCCTTCCCTTTGTCTCCCTCCAGCCTCATCTTTTGGTTTGGGGATCTCAACTTCCGCATTGAGACCCTGGACATCCGCTACGTGAAATACGCCATTGACAACAACATCCTGCATCAACTCTGGGAGAAGGACCAGGTGAGAAATGCACGTGTGTGCCTAGTGTGTGTGCAGGGGCTGGGGGTTGCGGGGGGCCAACAGGAGCGGCCTGTGGGATTGACCCATTTCCCTGCTCAGGCCACACCAGACCTGTTGCACCCTGGCCTCTGTGTACAAGAGATGGGGCCCATTCTTCTCCGTGGCTCTGTGGCTGGCTGTTCACTGGCCATCTTGGCCAACTAAAAACGTTAGCAGGGTTGGTTAATCCTTGGAAGGGGGACCTCCAACAAAAAGAAACATTCTGGAAGGAGGCAGTGGCAAACCCCTCCTGCGGTGTTAGCCAAAAACGACGTTTTCTGCGTCCTTGAAGTCAGGGAGAGCTGAGCTCGACTCCGAGGAGGCTTGATCTGTTTTTACTTTGCTGAGAGCCAAGCAACACAACATGAAATATGGGAAATCCATAAACGACCGTCTCCACATTTCAGTGTCTAATTAAAAGAAGTCATGGGGTATTGGACTGAAATAACAGCTTGCTGAAGCCTGCATCTAACCCTAACCCCCCCGTTTCCCAAACAGACCGAGTTTCCCAATGCTCAGAACAGTCCGCCCCAAGAAAGTGTCACTTGAGCAATCATTAGCCAAGATGCAGTGCATCGCGAAGCGGATCAAAATGACACTTTACAGTTGGATCCCAGGAGTTACCTTTGATCCTCAGTAGTCCCTTCAGCCCGGCTGTTTGTTTACCTTGTTGGTTTACCTCTTAGTCGGTTGTGCCAACCAGCCCTTTGCGTGGCGCATAGTTCAGAGTAGGGAAAGAAATGA